AGACCTTTAACTTCGGGCTATGTTAATTAGCCAAACTTCTCCAATGTTCTATCAGGTTTTAAAGAATATGTTACTATCTAAACTTTTTCAACTTTTTATTTTCTCTGTATATTCACAAAGATAGACACACAAAGAAACAGGAGAAAACTGCATGTGCTTTACACAGACCATCTGTGACATGCTTGGACTTTCTGTTTTGCTCTAAATTTTCTTTTATTTTTAAAGTAATCAATCATTTTAGGACAAAAATTTACCATACAAGATTTTTTTTTTCTCATGAAAAATTTTTTTTTCTTTATAACCTTCCTTAACAAAAATATATCTTCATATCCATGACTTTTTTCACATCTCTCTCCCCTACTTACTGGTTCCTTTTACTTTGTTTCATAAATAAACCTTTGAATCTACAAATTGAATTAACCTTTAGATAACTTCTGAGTTGGACAAATTATGCTTTTTCTCACTAAAAGTACATCTTCTTTGATACATTTTATATACAGAATTCTATATTAACTATAATTTTTATTCTTAGTAACCTTACATTTTACTGAAACCCTAGGAAGCAAGAAATCCAAAACTATCAGATATTAGCATTTTATAGATGAGAACAGTTCCACAGTTTTTAGAAACATATTTCCCCATACTATAACCCTTTCTTAATTAGAAATGACTTAGATATCTATTGAACATCAAAAATAATTGTAAGATTTAAAATTACATAAAAGTTCACCTATAGCACTTATGTAATGTATATAAATACATTTTATTTTTAGCAGTTTATCTAGATTATTTGTTTATCATTTATTTCTGTGTTAACCATTTTATAACCTGTGAATATTAGGTATTCATCTAAATAAGAAGCTTAAAGTTAACTACATAGGTATTTTCACCAATAACTCGGAAGATTCAGCTGTTTTCATTGAACCAACAACAATAAATTAGTCTTATTTATAAAAAAATTCACAGAAAGATCATTTTGTTTTGGCTGGGTTTATGGTTTTATAACCTTCTGTGTGCCAAATCGTGATATCTCAAAAATATCTAGCAAAGACAAATATAAGACCCAGATAAAAATATATGCTGACAATTCTGGATTCCGAGTCCAGAGTGCTCACCATTATACCATGGAACCTCATAACTATGCGGACAATACTGACGACATTTCTATTTTTGTTTTACCTATAATTTCAAAGCCCATTTGTTTAGTAAAAATTTACTTAAGTCTTGTGAAAACTGCTTGGACTTGTTTACTTACTTAATGAAATTGGAAATTAAGTAAATAATTTACTTAATAAGTAATGAAATAATCTGCTTAATTTCAATTCATAAGTTCACCAAATTTATGAATTGAAAATTGCTTGGACTTATTCATTTATGAGTGCCCTTTTATTTATAAGCCAATTTGGTAGACGCAACATATAATAACTGTATATACATAAACAGATCTAGACATGTATTCACACACACACACACACACACACACACACACACCCCTTGGAACTCTAGCCATGAGATAGCAATACAAATTCACCAGTCTACAAACGTGTTTACATGGCTGAACTTTGTTAGCCTCAATAGGTAAACCAGTGAAGGCTGTGGACCAAAATTTTGGGTAAAGCAGTTTTTATGGTAGTATTATTTTTAAAGGCCAACCTCCCCAGACCCCAAAGAGCACTTGGGCCAAACAGCACCACAGAAGAACATCACCTGAAACCAACTAATACTTCCTAACCCTGCTTAAAACAGCAGCATAAAAACCACACAGAACACCATTTTGCTTTCCCATTCCACAGCAAACTCTGGATTCTGAAGAATATAATACAAAAAGTATTATAAATGAGTATCCATTTACTGAATTTAAATTTCCCATGACACATGCACACAAACAGTCACCAAACACAATCCAACCTCTGCAGCAACAAGTAAGCCCCAGGAGTGTCCTGGCCGAGACAGTTGGGGAGCTGCAGCCAAGGACATGGGGGCTCAGTCTCAAACCCTCATCTCCATGACTGAATAGAACCAGGGGTTTAGGTAGCAGGGAAGAAATGTAATGATGGGTGAGGAAACAGGAACTCAGGAGGGGTAAGGAAGCAATCATGGTGAATGAGGGCCCTGGAGTCTCACTGAATGCAGTGATTTGGTGAGTTTCAGTTCTCTGATACTTTTTAGGCCGAGCGCAGTGGCTCACTCCTGTAATCCCAGCACTTTGGGAGGCCAAGGCGGGCAGATCATGAGGTCAGGAGATCGGGACCATCCAGGCCAACATGGTGAAACCCTGTCTTTACTAAAAATACAAAAAATTAGCCAGATGTGGTGGCATGCACCTGTAGTCCCAGCTACTTGGGAGGCTGAGGCAGGGGAATTACTTGAACCTGGGAGGTGGAGGTTGCAGTGAGAGCCGAGATCGCATCCACTGCACTCCAGCCTGATGACAGAGCAAGACTCTGTCTAAAAAAAAAAAAAAAAAAAAAAGCCAGAAGGGTTAATTTCTGTGTTTATCCGAAACACTGTCTATGGGAATGCTGTGTCCATTTCATGGCCCTGGCTCAGGGAAGCACAGTCTCAAGGAGTCAGGTGTGCCTGAGGCAGTCAGATTAGTTTAGTTTTATGTGTTGAAGGGAAACAAGAGCTACAGCAAAGACTGATCAATACATGGAAAACACGCATTGGTTAGGTCCATAAAAGCAGGCTGTGTGGAAGAGGAGGCTTACAGGTTATGGGTGGACTCAGGGATTCTGTAATTTGCAGTTGGTTAAAGGCTCTGTCTAAAACTTGGAGTCAGCGCAAAGGAATGTTTTCAGTTGGGGATGCTACATAGCAACATTGACGGCCTGCGGGCGTGCCCTTGCTAGGCGTGGCCTTAGGTCTTGCTTATAATTTGCTATCTTATTTCCACAAAGAGCCTGTTTGGTCAGCCTTCTGGGCTCTGTTTTAATATTAGTGCTGGTCAGTTGTGTCTAAACTCAAAAAGGGAAGGGGCATGACAAGGTCTGTCTGACTTTCCTTCCTGTTCTGGCTAAGCACACAGTTTTTCAGGCTTTTCTGGGATCCCCTTGGCCAAGTGGGGGTCCATTCAGTATGTTCAGGGGCTTTAGGATCTTATTTTTAGTTTAGAATGCAGTCACACAATGTGTAGTCTTCTGAGTCTGAAGTCTGACACTTAACCTCATGCATTTGAGATTCATCTGTTTGTTCCCGGAGTTTGTTCCTTTTTATTGCTTAATAAATTTTCATTGGTTGGAACTACCACAGTTTATTCCCCCTAATGAAGGGCATTTGGGTTGTTTACAGTATTTGGGATTTATGAATAATGCCATTGTTAAAAGAAAAACTTCAGCCTAATTAAATTTAAAGGAGTTTGATCGAGCACTTAGCAGCAGTTACAAGTGAGGTTTTAAAGGAAGAAGGAAGGAGACGCTCTTAAGTTGTTTACCAAGAACTGACATTGGTTCAGTACAGTAATTTCAAAGCCCATTTGTTTAGTAAAAATTTACTTAAGTCTTGTGAAAACTGCTTGGACTTGTTTACTTACTTAATGAAATTGGAAATTAAGTAAATAACAGGAGTGGTGCAGTTGCAGCTCACAGGCCGGAGTGCAGTGGCGTGATTGCAGCTCACAGGCCGGAGTGCAGTGGTGTGATCGCAGCTCACAGGCCGGAGTGCAGTGGCATGATTGCAGCTCACAGGCCGGAGTGCAGTGGTGTGATCAGTCACAGCTCACAGGCCGGAGTGCAGTGGTGTGATCACAGCTCACAGGCTAGAGTGCAGTGGTGTGATCAGCTCACAGGCTAGAGTGCAGTGGTGCGATCGCAGCTCACAGGCCGGAGTGCAGTGGTGTGATTGCAGTGCACAGGCCGGAGTGCAGGCCGGAGTGCAGTGGCGCGATCGTAGCTTACGGGCTGGAGTGCAGTGGCATGATCACAGCTCACAGGCTGGAGTGCAGTGGTGTGATCGCAGCTCACAGGACGGAGTGCAGTGGTGTGATCGCAGCTCACAGGCTGGAGTGCAGTGGAGTGATCGCAGCTCACGGGCCGGAGTGCAGTGGTGCAGTTGCAGCTCACGGGCTGGAGCGCAGTTGTGTGATCACAGCTCACTGCAGCCTTAACCTTCTGGTCTCAGGCGAGCTTCTCAACTCAGCCATGCAAGTAGCTGGGATTACAGGTGTGTATCACCACGCCAGGACAACTTGTAAATTTTCTGTGGAGATTGGGTCTCCTGACACCCTTCAATGGTGATTGGAGTGTTAGTTTTCCTTTTTGGTTTCTTTATGAATGTATGGATTTTAATACATTTGATCTGTTTTAGCCCACTGCAGTGATTTTGCTTTTTGATGCCCAAATTGTCCCGTCCGTGGCCAGGAATGGCTTCTTCAGCTTTCAAGATTCTGACGTAACTCCAACAGCTGTTCACGTGTTTATAGTTTTCTTTTTTCACTCTGGCATGTGCATCTAGACATGAATATGCATAGCTTTCTTGCTTTCTCCTGTGTCCAGGCTCCTTTGTACATTTTCTGCTCTGAACCTGGAATCTATCAAGCCTGGTTCTTTTAGTGGGACATGGTATTTTGAGACGATAATATGGGTGCTCATTCCTACTACATTGGCTAGTTATTTCTAGACATTTTCACTTCCTCCCCACGCACCGCTGCCCCAGCCTGTCGCGGTGTTTGGGCTGGGCTCCCTGAATCGAACCCACACCTGGTGTCTCTGACACGCTTTCAGCTTGAGCCCCCATCATGTCCTCACCTTCTCAGAGGCCGCCGAGACCTCCCTGCCCTGCTCCACGTTGTCCGTGGAGTGCCCCCTTCCTGCTCCTCGGGAGAGCTGGTGGGCCTCGCTCCCCGGAAAGCGCGGCCAAAGCCTGCAGAGATGCGCGCTGGGAGAATGGACGCGTTTCCCGGGAAACGTCTCCGCTCCGGGCGTTCTTTTGCCGGTGCGAAGCTGAGCCAGCACGCCGCTGCGCGGTGCCATCTCGCCTTGCCTGCTGTGCTTCCTTGGCAGGGGCTGTACAAAGCGGACCAGCGGTTCGGGCCAGGCGTCGAGACCTACCCTGACGGCAGCCAGGATGTGGGGCTGTGGTTCCGGGAGCACCTCATCAAGCTGTGCACCCCGAGCCCCGGGGGCTTCTCCCTCCTCAGCTACCCTGAGTTCTCCAGCTTCCTCACCCACAGCGCTGCAAGGATCAGCCTCGCAGAAGAGGCGGAGACAGAGCGGGGACTGCAGGAGGGACAGGACCCCTTTTTCTATGAGTACAAGCGGCTGCTTCTCCACGACGACCTCACACTGCCTCCCGAGATGTGCGTCTACTCCACCGACAGTGAGCACCTGCCCATGACCAGCTCCTTCCGCCAAGAGCTGGACGCCCGCATCTTCCTCAATGACATCCCTCCGTTCGTGGAGGACGGAGAACCCTGGTTCATAACCAACGAGACCCCTTTGTTGGTCAGAATCCAGAAGCAGACTTACAAGTTCAGGTGACCAGTCTCCACTGCTCTTACCCCAGAGCCCTGCACCGCGCCGACCACTCCCTAGGCAGGCGCCCGAGGCCCTCGGCCGCCTGCCACGGAGGCTGCTCGCTCCGGGTGACCTAAAGTCACCTCTCCCACGAAGTGACTGATGGGGGCGGTAATGAAGTGGGAGGGGAAGACCCTGCCGGCTGGCGCTGGGAGGAAGGTGGGCCCTGGACGTCTGTGCAGGGGAATGGGGGTCCCAGGATCCCACCCACCCACGCTTGGGGATAGGAGTGATCACGAGGTGGCCTGGCGAATGTGCAGCCAGGGGAGTCCCGAGGACTCCGGGGTGGAACCCGGGGGGATGTGGCCGGGGAGAAGCTCCTGGGTCCGTGGAGCTGAGGGTGAGTCCTGGCCCTGGGCTCCGGGCATTTCCCCCCGTGCAGGCCGGAGCTAATGCCCTGCCCCACCACTGCGTCGGTCCTTAGGTGCTCTGTGGGCCAAGGCTCCTGGCAGCGTTGACGTGGAGAGCAGGGTTTTTGTTATTACTGTGTGAGGTGGTGAGGGAGCTGCCTGAGAGCCGAGGGTGGTAACACAGGGCAGAGCGGTGTTGGGGCCAAGCCAGGCCTTTGATTTGTCCAAGGATGGTGTGAAAAGATTCTCTGCTCTGTTGGTCTTCAAAAACCCTCTTACCCTACCCAGAGCCTCAAGAAAGTCAGCCACCATCCAAGGAGAAGTGTTGAATGCTTTTTTAAAAAATAAAACAGAGTCTTGTTCTGTTGCCCAGGCTGGAGTGCAGTGGCATGATCTCGGCTCACTGCAACCTCCGCCCCCCGGATTCAAGCAGTTCTTCTGCCTCAGCCTCCTGAGTAGCTGGGACTGCAGGTGTGCACCACTGCACCCAGCTTATTTTTGTATTTTTAGTAGAGTTGGGGTTTCACCATGTTGGCTAGGACGTTCTCAATCTCCTGACCTCTTGGTCTGCCCACCTCGGCCTCCCAAAGTGCTGGGATTACAGGCGTGAGCCACTGTACCCTGCTGAAGTGTTTAATTTTTTAGTTAAAATATTCAAGAACACTTAAATTTCTTTCCTAAACGTTGACCTCAGACATCAATAAACTGTTTCAGAATGCGTATTTTCTGAGAATGGTGGCTACTTTTCATTCATCAATCCATCCACCCACCCACTCCATCACCCGGCCACCTGGTATCCATTCATCCATCAGTGCACCCATGCAACACCCATTCATCCAGGCATCCGTTCATCTACCCACACATCTACTCATTCATCCACCCACCCACCCACTCACCCACCCACCTATCCATCCAGCAATCCACCCATGCAATACTCATTTATCCAGGCATTCATTCATCCACCCACATACCTACCCATTCATTTAGCCATCCATTCATCTATCCACCCACCTACCCAATCACCCACCCACCAATCCATCCATCAATCTACTTATGCAACATTCATCTACTCACGCACCCACCCATCGATTCATCCATCAATCCATCCCTGCAACATTCATTCATCCAGCCATCCACTCATTTACCCACCTACCTACCCATTCATGCACCTACCTATCCATCCATCTATCAATCTATTCATGCATCATTCACCCACCCACCCATCCATTCATCCATCAGTCCGCAAATGCAGCACCCATTCATCCACCAGCCCACTCATCCATCTGTTCATCCACTCACCCATCCATCCACCCTTCCACCTACCCGGCCATCCATCCTCCCACCCACCCATCCATTCATCCCTCAGTTCACTCATGCAACATCCATCCACCCACCCAACCATCCATCCATCACGGTGGGCTTGTAATTGTTGAAGACCGTTAGGTACAGAAACAACTGTAATGCACAGGTTCTCGATTGTGAAAAGGGGTTGTGTACACATCAGGAGGCATCAGTGCCGTGTGGTGAGCAAGTCATGAGAGGTGCGTGTTGTCTATTCAGACAACAGTGGATGAGCAGAGGGTGGAATGTGGGTGTTGGTGCTGAGATTGGACCCACGTGTATGCTGGTCTCCTTCCTACCCATGGCCTTTGCTGTGACAGCCTGTTTCCCAGCAAACACCCAGTGACCCGAATGAATCAGAGATGCAGGGGTGCGCTGGCAGCCAGCACGGTCTTGCTGGGACAGAAATATAGCCCGAGCACCTTGACCTCCAGGTGGCAGCACTGTGTGCACCTGAGTGGATCATGAGCAGCTGGGGGTGCCGCTGCTGGCACCCAGGGTGCCTGAGAGTGAGCAGTGGGAGGGCTGAGCCATGAGGAGGAGAGGCGCTGGGGGAGGGGCTCAGCTGGGCCCTTTCTCACGGGCGGTGCTGAGTGGTGTAGACCTGCTCCAGGCCCACTGAAACTTGCTGTGTTGCCAGGAACAAGCCAGAGCACAGCAGCTGGAACATGGGCGCCATCCTGGAGGGGAAGCGTAGCGGCTTTGCACTCTGCGGGCCCAAAGAGGGGCTTGCCATGGAGATGATCCTAAAGGCTGAGGAAGGGAACCACGACTGGATTTACGGGGTCCTGAAGGACAACTTCGCCAGCGCTGACGTGGCGGACGCAAAGGGCTACACTGTGCTTGCCGCGGCTGCTGTGAGTCCCCCACCCACCCTTGCTGGTGCCCGCAGGAGCTCGGCTGTGAAGGGCACGCGTGTGAGTGGCCCTCGGTGGCCCCCTCTGCAGAAGCAGAGCTGAAGTATGTGGGGACACTGATGTGCCCACACCTCCACCTCACCGTTCAGCGGAAACCCCTTCAGCGGAGCGTGACACTCGAGGTCCAGTGGAGAAGGGCTTGGGGCACAGTGCCCATTCCACTCGTCTGTCCGACACTCATCCCTTTACCAGGCGCCCAGATGCGCACTGGTCCCTGCCCTGCCAGGGGGTGGCCTCCTGAGGGTAGCAGGGCGCCCAGTGACCCTTCTCACCCCCGAGGGCCGGGCACGTCCTCCGGAGTCCCGCCCTGTCTCCCCGCAGACTCACTGCCACAACCACGTCGTCAGCCTTCTCCTGGACTGCGGTGCCGACGTGAACAAGTGCTCGGACGAGGGCCTCACGCCACTCAGCATGTGTTTCCTCCTCTACTACCCCGCCCGGTCCTTCAAGCCCAACATTGCTGAGCGGACCGTGCCCAAGCCCCAGGTCAGCCCCCGTGGCCACCACGCCACCAACTGTCCCCTGCGGGCTCCTCCCTCTGTAAGTGTCCACCAAGCCTCCTGCCTCCTCCTGTGTGGACCAGGCTTATTACACAGAGTGAGTTACAAGACGAGTCAGGCAGTGGGCAATAGAGACAGAGCCTGGGCATCTCCTAAGCCACCCGGAGCTCCACCACAGATGCCCAGGGATGTGTGTTCTTTACAGGTCACCTGCACAGCAGCCTGGGGCCCTGAGACTTGCCCTGCCAGTGCTCTGCAGGAAAGGGGTGCTGTGGAGGGAGGGCGGGCATCTGTGACAACGCCCCCAAGGTGGGGGCCAAGAATCCGCATGCCTAGCAGTGTCCTGGCTATACCGATGTTACTGAAACACCAGGGGTTCAGTCTTGGTCCTGCTGCTTGCCGCACAGAAAGCCAGCCACTGAGATGCCAAGTATTGCCAAGGAAGAAGGCTTCCATTGGGTGCTGCAGCCGAGGAGATGGGAGCTCATTCGCAAGTCCGTCTCCCTGATTGGCTGACACCAGGAGTCGACGTAGCAGGGAACAAATGTAACGATGAGTAAGAAAACAGGAACTAGGGCCAGGCAAGGAGGCACCTGGTGTGGTGATCTGGTGGGTGTCAGTTCTCCGATGCTTCCTGAGGGTCCTTTCCTGACGAAGGAACTCAGATAAAATAAATACGGGTTTCAAGCTTAAGCAGAAGAGTCAATTTCTATGTTTATCCAAAAACAACTGTCTATGGGACTCTTGGGCGGTTTGACCAATGCCACTGGTCCAGGGACCACACTTTGGGAACCATGGCTCAAACCACAAGCAGATCAAGGGCAGTGCCATGTCACAGAAATAAAATGTGTAATTAAAATTTGGGGGGTAGCCACATGAAAAAGTAAAATGGGTGGAATTAATTTTAATTATATACTTCATTCAGCCGAAGGTATTCAGAATCCAACCGTGTTGGGGTGTGATCAGTATAAGCCGCATCATCAAGGCATTTGCCTTCTTTTCCCAACCTCTCCTTCACTCCTAAGCACCTGGCTGTGGACGGGCCACATTTTGTGAGCTCAGCAGCCACGCACAGGGCCATGCAGCCTGGGGCGTGGCCTGGTCAGGCAGCAGGCTTCTGCGCGATGCCTTCACCGGCGGGGGAGCTTTTCTCCTTGAGGGTTTGAGGAAAGCCGCCCTGGTCTTCTCAGCCTGGGCACTTGGAAGATGGCTCCAGGCCATGGGCATTGGTCCTTGCTGAAGAAGGTCCTAGAACGAGGTGGTCACTGTAATTTCTCCTAATGATACTTTTTTGGTTCTTTGCAAAGGAGCCTCCAAAGCTTCCAGTTGCTCCAATCCTTTCATCGTTCATGGACACAAACCTGGAGTCGCTGAACTATGAAGTGAACGTGCCCTCGCAGGGTAGCTATGAGCTGAGGCCGCACGTCCTGGGCAGCCAGGAGCGCGGCGTTTCCCAGGGCACCAGGCTGTCTGGGAAGTCTGTGGACCGGAGGAGCAGCTCCCTGAAGGGGGACTCACCATTGGTGAAGGGCAGCCTTGGCCACGTGGAGAGTGGGCTGGAGGACGCGCCGAGAAACACAAACCAGCGCCCTCCGTGCAGCGCGGAGACGAACCTGGAATCCAACGTGTGTGTGTGCAGCTTCCCCATCGAGCTCTCCCAGGCCATGCTGGAGAAGAGCGCCCAGTCCCACAGCCTGCTGAGGACGGCCTCACCCTCGCCGCGCACCAGCAGCTCCGACAAAGGGACCATACGGAGGATGGCGCTGTCCATGCTCGAGTAGGTCCTGGCGCGCGCTGGCGGGGGAGGGCCACCATCAGGGCTGACTCCCATGTGTAGTGGACCTGTGTCCCTTCTCTGTGCCAGAGGGAGGCGTTGCGTCCAGATATGTGTCTGAAAGTGTGGCCATCCCTGTGTCGGTGGCCCCATGCTGTGCCCTGGCTTGTGGGGGTGCCATGGTGATGGGCCCTTTTCAGAGCCACCCCACCCCTGCTGTGGCCTTTGGCACCGGCCCGAAGTGTCTCTATGGGAGCCTCAGCAGGGGCCACTGCCGGGGGTCCTATCCTAGCCGTGGCTTCTGTGAGCGACACCTGCCTGAGGAGCCCACACACCCCTGCTGCCACCCTGTCCAGACCAGTGGGTCTGAGAATGTGGTCCGTGCAGCCCTGGCGGTCCAGGACGCTTTCAGGGAGTCTGTGGGGTCAAAGTGATTCTCTTTATAGCCCTGAAACTCTGTCAGCCTTCTTGTGTTGACATTGGTGGATGGTGTGAAGACGGGGCCGTGCAGACTGGCAGTCCCCAGCCCACAGGGCAGCAGTGCCCGGCCTGCATGGGGACACGGCATTCCTTGAGCACAGCGCACACTTGCGGGGGATGCCTGTCTCACAAAGCAGAAAGACAATGACGAACTGCATGGAGACTTGCTCCCTGCAGACACCCCGTCGAATATTCTGGATCAGAAAATTTGGGAAGGACACTGATGTGTGCCTGCCGCAGACCAAGGCACACCACTTCTCTGCAGGAAGCACCTCTCCCGGGGCCAGAGTAGCAAACAGGATGCAGCCTCTTCCCCGCCCCGCCGCCCCGTTTTCCATCAGAAGGGTGACCAGTGGCACGTGGCTGTTGAGGCTCCTGAGTCCAGCCTGCGTGTTAAGGTCAACACATGACACTATTTGTTGCTGGTGAAATTTACGTTTTCAAGTGAATAGCAGAATTTTCGACACTTGCATCCACCACCAAGACTTTCATAGCTTCCTTTCGCCTCACCGAGACGTGGGTATTCAGAGGCTTTTTGGGTGAGACGGCGTCAGCAGCGCGGTTTTCTGGCACTGGCTGGTGACGTGCTGACAGCGCCAAGATCTGCCTCTCTTGGTGAGCCAGCTTTCCCCACATGGCCAAGTTCTGAGGTCGAACCATCGCCAGGTGGGTGAAGATCCACTGACAGCGAGAGGTGGGCCTGTGGGCTTTAGCATGGCCAGGCTCGGAGGCTGGCCAAGGGGTGTCCGGTGCCGCCAGGTAGCTAGCTCACCGCCCCCAGGCTGCTCAAATACTGCCCCCTCGTCCAGCTGCGTACCTCGGGGAGGCTGGGTCTCCGCTCAGTCCCACCAGGGCTGTGAAGAGCAGACGGGGGAATCCAGCGAAGGTGGCAAACAGTGCCACCCTTCTCCCAAACTGCTTTTGTTTTGTAAAATAACTTCGTGACAGTGTTACTGATTAGTAACACGCAGTGCATTTGTTATGGTTAACAAATTGGTGAGCATTTTGACAGTTTCTGAGCTTTGCCAGGTAGCCGCAGCCAAGGAGAGCCAGCACCCGCGCGATGCAGCTCCGTGGGCCTCCAAGTGGTGAGGGTCTGGAGACGGGGCTGGGAGCCGCTGCCTGAGGCCTATCCGGTTCCCATGTCTCCCATTCTGTGCTGGCTGCAGGGTCACGGGCCTGGCTGGGTCCTACACCTGCCCTGTGCACACGGCCATTCCTGCTGCTCCCCAGCCCCTCCTCCTCCCTTGAGCTTCTCCCTCAGATGCAGATGCTGGCACAGCTGCATGGCTCCCCGCCCACCTGGCCCCAGCCTCTCCTGAGGCCCAAGTGCCCTCCAGAGGCACAGCTTCCTCTGGAGCTGGCCAGCCTTCTCCTCAGTGACCCCTCAGAGGTGTGCGTGCCTGTGTGTTTGTGTCTTTGTGGTGTGAGTGGTGTGAGTAGTGTGTACAGTGTGTTGTGTGTGGTTTGAATTTGTGTGTGTGCTGTGATGTATAGTGTGATTGTGTGCCCTGGTGTGGCTTGTGTGTATGGTGTGCTCTGTGTATGTGGTTGTGTGCTGTGTGTGCCGTGGGGTGTGTGTGTGCTCCGGTGTGACTTGTGTGGTTGTGTGTTGTGTGGTGTGTCTGTGTGTGTGGTTGTGTGCTGTGTGTGTGGGTGTGCTGTGTGTGTGCTGTGGTGTGGCTTGTGTGTGGCTGTGTGCTGTGTGTGCTGTGTGCATGTGTGTGCTCTGGTGTGGCTTGTGTTTGTGGTTTTGTGCTCTGTGTGTGTGTGCTGTGCTATGTTTGTTCTCTGGTGTGCCTTGTGTGTTTGGCTGTGTGCTGTGTGTACGTGTGTGTGCTTTGTTGTGAATGTAACCGGTTGTGTGCTGTGTGTGTGGGTGTGTGCTGTGTGTGCTGCGGTGTGTGTGTGCTCTGTGTATGTGTGTGTGCTGTGGTGTGGCTTGTGTGTGTGCCGTGTGGTGTGTGTATCGTGTGGTTGCGGCACACACTTAACCCCCCCGCGCCCCTCCCCGGCCTCCTCGCTGGCCTGGGTGCCGGCGCTGCAGGGCCCACGGGCGCTCTGGCTTTTGCAGGCGGAAGAGGCGCTGGCGGACCATCCAGCTGCTGCTGCGCCGCGGCGCGGACCCGAACCTGTGCCGCGTGCCCGTGCAGGGCCTGTTCCTCGCGGTGAAGGCGGGCGACACGGACGGGGTGAGGCTGCTGCTGGAGCGCGGGGCGAGGACCGACGTCCGCTTCCCCCCGCAGGTAGGAGCCGCGCGGATTCCGGGGCGCGGGGCGGGCTCAGGTTCGCGTTCCCCGGGCTGTGGGCGCTGAGGGCGGCGCCGGAGCGAGGGTCCCACCGCCCGCTGTCCCACCAGGCCCCCAGACAGGGTTGGAACGCCCTGCTGGTTTCCAGCGGATGTCACGACGCTTGTCACTTTTCCCCAGCGTTGGAGCAAACTCAGGGGAGGCGCGTTCTCACGGCCCCCGGGGAGGGGCGACCGAGCTCGGAGGGCGGCGTCACCGGGACACCTGCCCCGAGGCGAAGGGTTTCGGTGCTGAGAGTGTCTCCGGCCCGGCAGATCCCGCCAGCAAGACGTTTAGCTGAGAAACGCTTTGAGTGGGAATCCGACTGTGTGTGTTGTTTCTCGGGAAGCCTGAGCCCCGCGCCCGCTGAGACTCGGCTGCGCCTTTCCCAGGGGTCCCGGGGGCGGCCGCGCCTGCTTCCCAGGGGTCCCAGGGGTCCCGGGGGCAGCCGCGCCTGCTTCCCAGGGGTCCCAGGGGTCCCGGGGGCGGCCGCGCCTTCTTCCCAGGGGTCCCGGGGGCGGCCGCGCCTTCTTCCCAGGGGTCCCAGGGGTCCCGGGGCGGCTCTTCCCACCCCGCTGTCACACCCAGCCGCTCGCAGGCGTCTTCCCGAGGCGTTTTCCCCGAGTCAACTCGCCTGCTGGGTCTTTGAGGCAAGTTGAGCGTTTTCTGCCGCGTTCCCCTGGGGACTCCGCGCTCTGCAGGGTTAGCTCGTTCCAACGACTCTCCTTTCCCCACGCGTGCCCTGGGCCGCGGGCAGCCCCTGCCCGGCCCCCGTTGCCTGCAGCCCCCCCCCCACCCCTGCAGCACAGCTGCTGAAGCGCGTCCTTCCCGAGTTCCCGGCGCTCTGGGTGGGCTCAGCCCCTGCCCGCGGCTGCCCCTCCCCGGTGATCCCGTCGGTCCCCCAGGGCCGAGTCCCGGTGCGCAGGGACCGGCCGAGATGCGGCTCGCCGCGGCGTTTCCTCCCCGCTTTAACGCGACGTTCTCCGCTGCGTTTCACCTTCGCCCGAACCCTGTCGCTTTCTTTGCGCTTTGAAGGGCCCTGCAGTCACTTCTCTAAGACCCGGTCTAAGGCCGGCACCATTTCCCGTTCACGGCACCCGCCCATCCACACTCGAGAAGCGACTGCTGTCCACAGTGGCCAAGAATATTCCAGATGGGTGACGAACTGGCACCGGGGCCACCTTTGGGTGCCCCAGGACGGGGGCCCGTTATGCAGATCCACGATGGGGGTCCGGCCACTTGGCCGTGAACTTTGCTGTTTTTCGTCTCCGGTTACGTACACGCTCATCCATCGTTTCGGCACTTTGCTTTATTCACAGGGTGCTGACGGGGTGAGGGCCGATGGCTCTCTCTGGGCACCAGCCTTGCCAGGTGTCACGCGGGTGGCATGCAGTGTTTGAGGGCAGGTGGGTCTCCCTGTCCAGGCCCATAGTGTCCAGCCTTTCAGCTTGGTGATTACACTTTTCTTACAAGTGTAAGGTTACACAGAAAACAGAATTTTTGGTTTAAGACTCAGGGTAAATTCATAACTTTTTAGGTTGACTGATGGGATCCATCCTTGGCGCTGATTCGGGTCACAGCCTTTAAACTGGGCGCCAGCATGCTTCACTTACTCATCGGTTTATTCATCTGTTAATTGCTGATTGGGACTATATTATTCACACGTTTATCTTTCAGATAGAAAGTTTTTAAACATTAAAATATTTGAGTGCGTTCAGAACTGACCATGTTAGCCAAATACCAGGGGTTCTGTCCAGATGCTGCTGCCCGCCGCACAGACCAGTGAGGTGACGAGCTCTGCCGGGGAAGAAGGCTTTCAGCGGGGGCTGCAGCACGGAGAACAGGAGATCCTTCTCAAATTCATCTCCTCAACTGACTAAAACCGGGGGTTTGTAAAGCAGGGAAGGAATGTAACCATGTGTGCGAAAACAGGAGTTAGGAGTGCTAAGGCAGAAGAATTGGTCAACAGGAAGCAGGTGGTCCCACAGGCAGCCACGATGGGTGGGGGATCGAGGGCCCCACTGTCCAGAGGCTGTGATCAGTGAGTCCCTGTTCCTTGATACTATTTAGGAGGCCTGCTGGTTCGTTTCCTGAGAAAGGAGCTCAGATAAGACCCGTGTAACTTTCTCAAGTTTTAAAGAATGAGAGGGTTAATATTTATGTTTATTCAAAAGCAACCATAAGCATCAGTTTTGTGGGACTGTCCGGCCGTTCCACCTCAGTTCCGCCATCATGAGGAATCAGGCTGTGGGTCTTTGGCTGCTTCATGCTGAGGAGGGGCATGTGGGCAGCTCCATGCCATTGGGGACCATGCAGCCAACCCAGGAATCCAAGGTTAAGCTGATACTAGATTTTTTTTCCTGAAACACAATCTTTCTCTTTCCAGTCCTCCACTTCCACCAAACGCAAATCACAGCAAGACCAACCTACCTGCAAAGTGGGCTTCAGTCCCATATACATGGCCTGATTACCTGCACAGGGTGCAGGAAGAATTATTGACTTTTTTTTTCATTTGAGACAGGGTCTCACTCTGTCACCCAGACTGCAGTGCAGTGGTGTAATCATGGCTCACTGCAGCCTCGACCTCCCAGGCACAAGTGATCCTCCTACTTCAGCCTCCGGAGTAGCTAGCACTATGGGCATGCACCACCAGGCCTGGCTAATTTAAAAAAAATTTTTTAGAGACAGGGTCTCACTGTGTTGCCCAGACTGGTCTCAAACTCCTGGACTCAGCCACCCTCCTGCTCTGGCCTCTGGAAGTGCTGGGTTACAGGCATGAGCCACTGTGCCCAGCCAGGAATCGTTGTGCATACAGGCTCTCCTAAGTTGGCTTTGTGGGAACCTTTAACGGGGAATCTCAGACTCAACCTCAAAGGCCTCTCAAGCCAAGCTAAGGATCCATCTGTGCCTTCAGATCCCTGCGTGAATCGGGAGAGCTACTCTTCTCGAGGCCCCAAAACAACTTGAAGTTCCTGGGCCTGACAGAAAGTGATGTGGTCCACTTACCGCAGGCCAGGAAGCATGCAAAGGGAACTGCACAGTCGAGGTATGAGCCCAGTTCTTCTAAAAGGGTCTCATTGGCTCGTTAAGCCAACCTCAATTTCTCATAGCAGTCTGCTCCTTCTGAAAACGTACGGTTCCAGGCAAAGCCCTGGGAGAGTAACCAGCTCCTCCAACTGTGTTCCATTACAAAAGAAAGACTCCTCGTAAATGGACCCAAACAAACACATGGCCACAAATTAAAAACATTTGCATAGTTTCCAAATTCTGGGGAAGTCAGGCACAGAGAGAAAAAAGCCTCAAATTTTGTTTGCAAGAGTATACTCTACTCAACTGTTAAAGGATGTAAACAGCTCAAAAGATAAAAGCTCCCCAGACTCTGAAAAATGAAACAAAAAGAACCAGCACTGTTTCAAGAAAAGCCACAAAAAATGACTTCATTTCTCCACTAGTTCAGTCCATGCAATTACCTCCCTCTCTCCTTCATACTGGGTTAGCAGTCATACTGGGGTTAACACCAACGTTTTTTTTTTTTTTAAGTGGCGTTTCGCTCTTGTTGCCCAGGCTGAGATTGCAATGGCATGATCTCAGCTCACTGCCACCTCCACCTCCTGGGTTCATACAGTTCTCCTGCCTCAGCCTCCCAAGTAGCTGGGATTACAGACATACACCACCACACCTGGCTAATTTTGTATTTTTAGTAGAGACTGGCTTTCGTGGTGTTGGTCAGGCTGGCCTTGAACTCCCAATCTCAGGTGATCTGCCTGCCTCAGCCTCTTAAAGTGCTGGGATTACAGGGATGAGCCACTGTGCTTGGCAACACCAGCTTTTTAATTAGAGTCCTGGAAGTTTCCTCTCTAATGGCATCATCTCCAAAGTTATCAGAAACCTGCATCCAATAGTCCTCTCCATGAACTCCCCCAGAGAGCAAGCGCTGGACTGCAGCTGATTGTAACTGTTTTTGGAAAATAATCAAAGCAAAACAATAATTGTGGATGACAAAAGTCTTAGGACAACCCTAGTTAAAGACAGTTGATAAGGAAATTTGGTTATTTCTGTGTCATACAACAATTTAACAATTATTGTGATAACTCCTGAAACATACATTAAGACATATCAGAATTTCAGGAATGTCATACCATCCTGGAACACATATGAACAGTGCGTCTATATACATATAACCCAGAGAAAGCTGAACAACACTTTGCATTTGACAAAGCTTTTTTTTTTTAATTTTTTTTTTTAATTTTTAATGAGACGGAGTTTCGCTCTTGTTACCCAGGCTGGAGTGCAATGGCGCGATCTCGGCTCACCGCAACCTCCGCCTCCTGGGCTCAGGCAATTCTCCTGCCTCAGCCTCCTGAGTAGCTGGGATTACAGGCACGCGCCACCATGCCCAGCTAATTTTTTGTATTTTTAGTAGAGACGGGGTTTCACCATGTTGACCAGGATGGTCTCGATCTCTTGACCTCGTGATCCACCCGCTTCGGCCTCCCAAAGTGCTGGGATTACAGGCTTGAGCCACCGCACCCGGCTGACAATGCTTTCTGTATAATTCTAACATATCAAATAAGCCTAATATGTGTCTCTTGGACTTTGGGGGCCCAATATCCCCCAAAGAGCTAGTTTGAGGTAAAGAAGACTGAATTTAAAACTTCAAATTTTGCTTTTGGAGTTTGTCAAATATCAAAGGTTAGAGACACTTGATATTAATACAACAAGATCAAAGGTCACTATAAAACTGCCATTCCTTTAGCCAAAATAATTTAAATGTTTCAAACCCCACCCCCCACAAAAACCTTTACTCTCTGATAGGAGAATCAGTTTCCCAAACGATATGGCCTAATAAAGACAGCATGAGGCCAACTGAATCTGTCTCTCTCTCCTTTTATTCTGCAGCTTACTCGAAAGGTAAAAACAGATTTTGTTATCTCTTATTAATGTTATACAAAAGTTTT